CTGCTCAGTAACAGTCATTTCTCAGAGAAGGTCAAAGAGTGAAAAGGCCAAAGCCAAAGTGACAAAGGCCAAAGTGACACCGGCTGCACATTCAGGTGTTGACCTGCAGGGTACATATGCTCCTACCCAAGCCCTTTTGTTTCACTGGAAGGACTTAGGAGAGCGCTACTTGGGCCTCCATGACCTTCACCCTCTGTAAGCACTCTTGATGAACTCAAGGTTACCCTTCACAATGTCATGTGTGCCCTAGTGGTTGGGCAACAACAGGTACTAGTCGGAGGTCCAGATGAGCCTCAGCAGACTCCCTACAATACCCTAGATCTAAGTCCCCAGCAAGTGACAAAACCTCTCAAAACATCAAGCCAAGACTGCAGATGGGTGTCTCCATCCCCCACAGGAGGGTGCCTCCAGCCATTATCACCCACCACTTCCTCCCAGTGCCTACAACGGTTCAGGCTCATCTGTCTCCAACACCTCCCTGACAGAGCTTGTTCTTCCTCATCTGTTACCATGGCACTATACCTATCCTATAAATGCACATCTGCAGGCAGAGAACAAGCCTGCCTTCTGTTGTCAGCAGTCACAAGCTTCCATTCCTCCCCATCTTAGGAGTTCCTGTCCACTGCTTATTTGAGCATAGCTTCTAGCTGTCCCTCCTTCCACGCAATGTAGGGTTTGTGCTCTTCTACTCTGCAATGACCCTGTCAATCCCCTGTTTCTGTTCCCTACAGTTATGCAGCCTGTTCATCTCCTGCTGTCGCTTCACCTGGCAGCCCAGCACCTTGACCGCAAAATAACCCAACAGATGAGGCCACCATCATGCTCCACCCCAGGCTCAGGGAAAAGCACCAGTCGCTCCCCGCAGCCCAAAATCTGCAGATAATTCTCTGTCCTAGCCAGCCTCCCACGCACCAGACGCAGTCGCTCCGACCAGGGCAGGAGACCACGCATTCGGGTGCACCGCTGCACTCACTCCAGCTGTCTCTGATTGCCGGGTGCCTTCTGCACCCCCTTCCATGCTAACTGCTACATTAACTGCTAAGTCCTTCTTAGGGACCCCCTGTCACAACAGTCTTGCAATGTTTTCAAATATTACAGTCAGGAATGTGGACGCAATCGAATAAAAAAAAAAAAAAAAAAAAGGAAAAGCTTGACATAGAGACATAGAGCAAAGTTACAATTTTCTAAACCACTAAAACTAGGAATATTTCCCCTCTCCAAAACATCAGAAACCTTTTACTGTTTGTTACAGGCAATTCTCTTGCTCTTTGCAGATTTGTGTTCTAGCTAGTACAAGCTCAGTGGCATTTATCAGCATACAAAAGGCATTTCAGCTCCTAGATAGCACTTTAGTCTCAAAGACACACCACAGATAGTCTTATGACGTATCCCAGGAAAAGGCAGTTCTAAAGTAATTATGCAGAGGATGTGTTCTCATGCAAAACAACAAATAATCATTAAAGGACGTCCTCTCTTTCCAAGTTGTTTCTTTAAATACTCATTATACAAGCAAATGAGATAAGTGAAGAAGCTGAGAAAATTATAAGGCATTATTCCCTGCCTACAATTCTGCTTCCCTGCAGATAAAAAAAACCACATGACTTTTTCTCTCTAGCAGTTGGATTTCAGCTCCCTAGTTGAGTTTGGTCAGGATTTTCTTACTGTAATGTCCATTTCTGACCAAAAACTTGACCCTGCTCCACTGTTTCTAACTGGGTACCTCTCTAAAAGCTTCCTACCTTTAAAGCTACTACCATTACCTACTAGAACAGAAGAGCTGAAGGGTTTTGGGCAGATATTCAACATTACAAGTGATTTCAGAGACTTAATCTGCTGAAGACTGTCACATTGGCTCAGAAAAAGGATGTACAGGCCTGTTCCCTATAAAAGTCCTCGATGGTAGCAAAGTCATTTTCAAAGTGAGACCTAATCTCCGTGACTACATCTACTTTAACAGATTAGGAGAACTTCCCAGTTCCCAAGTCTAGGTGCAGGTTCCTGCCAAATAATAACTCCATCTCAGCACTGAGCTCCAGTATGTGTTGCCGTGGAAGATGGAAAAAATCTCTGGCATGTA